TTTTTTTTTTTTTTTTTTTTTTGTCGGCGGCCCATTTAATCTAGATCAAGTGGTAGTCATACGAGTCGATCCTCCGTGGAGTATCTCCGTGTGACCTGGTCTGATCTATATGGGAAAATATATATCCTTTTCTCCTTGCTTCCTTGGCTAGTGCGTCTGCTCGAGCATTCCTACTCCGAGGAATATGATACAGACTCATATCCTCGAAGCCCTCCTGTATTCTCTGGAGCATCTCGATTTCCGTTGCAAAAGCCGGCCATTCCTCCGAGTTAGTAAACATATCTACTAGGTCGGAGCAGTCCGTTTCGATCCGTACCGAGGATATTCCCATATGACGCACGCATGAGACTGCCCAAAGTAGACCTTCCATCTCCGCATGCAGAGCAGAACGTTTCTTTTTACATGCCCTTAATCCGAAGCATTCAGAGCCCATCTGATCCTTGAGACTCCACCCTAAACCACTGACCCTGCCATGGTCGATCCAAGATGCATCGATTTGACAGGTTACAGTTCGGGGGGGCTGAGGGGACTCTGTCGCAATCTCCAAAAAGGGGGGACCCTCATGGACTTCTTCATCCTCCTCCCTCACATTTGCTTTCCTCCAACATTCAGCCTCTAACGACGCATGTTGGAGAGTATCCATCGGAGAAACGACTTTCCCGTTGAAGAGTATGTCGTTCCTTGCCTTCCAAATGTACCAACAGATCCATGGGAAGGTATCGAATTGTGGACTCCGAGGAGCCACCTCTTTTCTTTTCCAAAAAAGGAAATTTATATTTTGAAATAAAGATGTACTCGGGAAGACACCCGGAATGGACGGATAGTCCGATAAAGCCCAGGCCTGTATGGCTGGGGGGCACTCAAATAGAAGATGGTTAATCGACTCCACTGGGCCAGCACATCTAGGACAACTCCTATCGGTGCCCAGGTGTCTATAGGTAAGCCTTTCTGTCGTCGCCACACAACCCCGGATTGCTTGCCACAAAAAATGTTTCATCTTGCTTGGGGCCTCCAGCTTCCACACATGGCTTAAGAGACCAGTGGTACTTGGTTCGAGGACCAAATCTTGAGAAGGGTTCGTCTTGTTTGATTGGAGTAGATCATATCCGGTTTTGACAGAGTATACTCCTGTCTTTGTATGGTTCCAAATATACCCATCCGGACCAGAGGAAACGGAGGGTTTAATCCCAAGGATTAGAGTGATATCCTCCGGCTGAAAGTAATCTCGTAAACGTTGTATATCCCACTCCTTGGTATCATTCCTAATCAGGGCCTGAACAGGGAGTTGGGGAAGTCTATAGACGATATGGTCGGCAGGTCTGGGTGGTCGGGCCACTATATCAAGGATCCAATGGTCGCTCCACACCTTTGTGTCTCGACCCGAGCCAATTCTCTTCCGTAGTCCCAAAAGGAGCAAAGGTCTAGATGCCATGATACTACGCCAGCCATAAGAGGGCGAGTATGTCTTGTTGTCGTCCACAGGAGAAGAATGTCTGTAATATCTTTCTTTTAGAACACGCACAATGTGGATCTAAATTTGAGTTATGATACAGTAACTGAAAAAAGCGTAAACTATTACATTTAAATATTAAACAAAATAAGTAAGTGAGTAGTTTTATTTTTTTTGTTGGAAAATTTATTTTGGTACATTCAAACAAATAAGTTAATCTAAGTATTTATTGACACAACATTTGCAAAAACATTATCTAATCAACTAGTATTGGGAAAACGTTTAAAAATGCAACTATTATTTTATTTAATAATATCTAAAATTTATTTTATCTAGAAGAATAGACAATTTAAAAAATTACATTTACATTGTATTTTTTTTTAAAGAGCAATATTTTAAATTAAAATACAATTTACTATATATATAATTAAATATGATACATAATTTCAATAAAAAGATAAAAATTAATATATATATTATAAATAGGATAATTCTTCCAAATGGCTCTAAAATGTATTTTATTCACCAAAAGAGCCTTCAAAAAGCAAATGACTGAAAATGTTTCATTAAAGAGGTAAAATACTATTCTACATGTAATTTATAATACACATAATTATTTGAATAAATAAAAAATAATAAAAAGAGTATTTTCATTCTCTTTGAATAATATGTTTTTAACTTTTAAATTTTCTTTTTTGCAACTTATTCAAAAATTTTAATAAAAACATTGCTTTGAAATTTAAAAATTCTTATTGAAATTATTTTTAAATTTTTTGTTAAAATTTTATTATTTATTTATTTATCTATTCCTAAACTTCACTACTATAATCTAAACCTTAAGTTTATATCGGTTAACACTATGGATATATGTTTGAGTTTACCTTTTGAATAAAGCATTTTGGTCATTTTGACCCTTAAAGGTATATTTGTGATAAAAACATTATTAGGATCATCCTAGAAATTTCTCCTTTAAATATAAATATATTTTTTTGTTTAGAAATAAGAAAATTATAGACCATATACTAAATTTATATATGAATTATTTACTAGTATATCAATCACTTTAATAGATAAATTATTGGGAGTATACTGCTTCTATAAGATAAATAAAAACCAATCACAGAAAAACCAGGAAAAAAAATTAAATAAAGATGAAGTTTTAGAACTCAACCAAAGAAATCACAAAAAATAGGGGGAATTTGTTTTTTTTTTTTTGCTAAAACCATTAGGATATTGTCCCCTTAGGCTAATTTCTATTTTGTTACCATTTTTGACTCTAATGCCCTTACGTCTTTTTTGAATAAGTTGCTAAAACCATTAGGATATGAAAAAAATCAAAAGTAGGAACTAATGATGTAATACCTATATCAATTTAGTGGTCTTTTTCCAGTTTAAGAACTTGATTAAATCATAATTTCACGTTTTATTCTACAGATATTAGAAATGATATTTTACAAAGTAGAAAATGAAATTCACTTTTTGCATAAAATATATTATGTTAAGAATACATGTTCTATGTAAATAATAGTAATCTAAAACTATCTGGAATACATATTCCGCACTTAACCTATCTATCAAAAATCAGTCGAAATCGAAATCTAAAAATTACAATAAATCTAAATGAGGTATAAATCGAAATCTACACATTACTATAAATCTTAAACATGTAGAAGTTGATTTAAAAAATTCTTACTGCATTCTAGATGTAGTACAATACATATTTTACGGATAAAAACAAGCTGTTCCGAAAATTTGGGAATAAAATATTTGAAAATATTCATTTTCCATATATTAAATCAATTTTTCACAAAAAAATAATTTTTATTTTTCTAATTAGAACTTCGAATTAATCAAATATTTCCAAATATTGTTTTTCATTTCTTATTTAAAAAATATATATTTTGGAAATATTTTTTACAATAATTGGACATATTTTTAAAAATATTTGAAATTTCGAACATTTTGAGAAAAATATTTGGATTTTTTTTTTAATTTCGAATTAATTCTTAAAAATATTTCGAAATCTTTTTTTAATTTCGAAATAGTTTTTTAAAATATTTGGAATTTTTTTTGGGAATTTTATTTAATTTCAAATTAGCTTTTTTATTTGGAAATTTGGATTTTTTTAATTTATAATTAGTCTTATTTTGGAATGAATGATTAATTTATTCGAAATTGTTTTGTTTGTTTTAGTTTTTTTTAAATTATAATGAGTTTATTTTATTATACTTTTAAAATATATCTTAATTATTTTATAATTTTAATTTCGAATTATAAACTAATTTTAAGGGTATTATTGCCATTTAGTAAATATTTTATAATTTTAATTTCGAATTATAAAATATTTTAAGGGTAGTGTTGCCATTTATAAAATACTTAACCTAATAGGACAACTATTAAATGAGATTACATTAAAGAGATAATGTCTTAATGGTTCTGGCCTTAAAAAAATAATTTTCCCAAAAAAATATTATCAATACAAAAGTATATGAGTTTGGTTAGTATAATAGGCGGTTGTCTTAATATTCTTCAAACAGTTCTGCCAAATCAGCTAACCAGTGTATTTCTTCATCCAATACTTCAAAATCTGGTTTCTTGATCTCCTTCAGATTCTTCAAGCTCGAGATACTATTAGTAACACCATCGCTAGTCAAGCGCTCACACCCGAACAAATCCAAGTACTCTAGATTGGAACATTGTTTACAAAGATTTTCAAGAGCGCCATCAGTCAATGTAGTATATCGAAGTTCTAGGTGTTTCAGGTGACGCATGTGTTTCCCAATAAAAAAAGCATCAACATCCCCTAATGTTTCCAAAAATAGATCCTGCGCATAGGTGCAATGTTTTACCCTCTGGATCTCTAAAGGATGCATCAAATGCCGTTTCAGAATCTCAAGATTCTTGCAGTTCTTACCAACAAGTTCTATGCACTCACAAGATATTTCATAAGAGCAGCTTATGTTAAGTTCTTTTAGCTTAGTGCAGTTTAATGCTATCTTCCTCATCGACTCAATTGTAACTTTTGGGCTATACTTAACCCAAAGTACCTCAAGATTAGGGCACCTGCATATCAAGATTATTATATCAAACTTGTGCATAGAGTGCTTTTGCACACAGTTGCTTTATATCCATTCATTTTCTTTAAGAACTAGGGTCTTAATAAGGTAAAAATCATATACATTAAGGTTCTAATTTTAAAAAAATACAAGAAAGTTTTTTTTTTTTTTTAAATCTGCACTTGGCCCAAAAACTGAGATGCACTTACCTCTCGGCTACGTATGAGAGAGATTTATCCGTACAATGCCTGACGCGAACCTCCTTGAGACCGCCTTGGCTCTGGTCGACAGCAGACCGGACGGTTGAGTCAACTTTTTCCTCAAATTCAGGGCTCCACCAGTAGAACGAATCAGGGGAAGACAGAAACTCAGCTTCGAGATCCAAGACAGTGTTTAGGGACGAGTCTTGGCATAAGTTCATCCACGTCTTGCAGACAAGCATCGGTCCGTTCCACCGTTGACCTGTGCTCAGCCGTGAGAAGATGTCTAGGAGACATTCCGGAGTCAACTCTGACCAGTCATAGCCCAGTCTAGATCCCATCTGATCGAGTATATGAGGAAGAATATATATTGAGAAAGATGATTGTGGGATCTTAGTGATTAAATATGGTTGAGAGGAATATCTTAAAACAAAGAAGAAGACGAGAAAAAAGAGGAGTGAAAAGCTAATAACAAAGTAAATTATTTTGATATGAATAGAACAGAGTATATCATATGCTGCAAGTTAAGAATAATCGTCGCCTTAAGCTGAAAAGTCAAATGTTTGAATTTCTCAACTGATAAATACTTTGACGTTAACCATTTTATGGCATTTACAAATGACAATTGACAAGTTAAGGAAAACGTAAATCAAGTTGACAAAAAAAAAAAGGAAAACGTAAATCACTGTAAACCATTATCCTAGTAATAAGTTGGTTTGTTTAAACAAGTAAGCAGTTGCATTTACACAATATATATATACACATGTTGATGGCATTCGTTCTTAAAGAATCACATTAATCTCTATTGTTTTTTTTTGACGGTCGTCATTCAACTGCGTAGACCAATGTTTTCGAAGAAAGTATAAAATAATTATTCTCATACGAATTTAAAATGTGAGCATATAGCCTAACAATTCTTTTGTTGAGTTTGTAGTTGTTGCCAAATATAATTAACAAAAGAAAATACAAGAAAACCGAAAAAAAAAGTAGTAACAAAAACTATACGAACTCAATCAAATAATAAAGCTGGGAAACTTGGTTTCTTGATCTCCTTCAAATGCTTTAAGTTAGAGATACTGTTAGTAACGCCATCGCTAGTCAATTTACTACACCCCGACAAGTCCAGATACTCTAGATTAGAACATCCTTCACAAAGTTGGGCAAGACCATTATTAGACAATGTGGAGAATCGAAGTTCCAAGTGCTTCAGCTGATGCATGTGTTTCCCAATTACATGAGCATCAATATTCCCATATATCAAGAAGATAGATGGATCCTTCAGATAGTTACTAAGCACGGACCTAGTGAGCTCTAACCTCATGACCTCGGCTGGATCCATCAAATTCCGTTTAAAAGTCTGAATGTTCTTGCAGTTCTTGCCAACCATATCCACACACACACATGATATTTTGTAGGAGAAGCTAATATCAAGTTCCTTGAGCTTAGGGCACATTAAGGCTATGTGCAACATCGAGTCATCTGTAACCTTAGGACAATACTTAACTGAAAGTACCTCGAGATTAGGACACCTACAAAATATAAATCATGGATCATGGAGTTTGGTAAGAGATTCTGTTTCTCAAACAAAATTCTAATGTTACACCTACCTTTAGTAAAAACTCTATAAACTAATACTCGATATAATCTTTTTAATTAATTTATCGCATTTATTAACTATATCGAATATTATTTTAAAGATTTTTTACTGTAGATAAATATCTTCAATGGAATCAGGTGAGACTACCTCTTGGCGATGTACGAGATAGAGCTATCCGTACAATGCCTGACACGAACCTCCTTTAGACCGCCTTCGCTCCAATCTACAACAGACCGGATGACAGAATCGATCTTGTCCCCAAACTCGGGATCCCACCACCAGCTGGTTGAACTCGGGAGGGTCTGAAATTTGGCTTCAAGATCGAAGACCGAGTTGACCGACCGGTCTTGGCACGCGTTCATCCAGGTCTTGCAGACGAACATCGGTCCTGTCCATCTTTCTTCTAGGCTCAGCCGTGAGAAGATGTCGAGGAGACATTCTTGAGTCAACTCAGTCCAGTCAGGACCAAGTTCCCATCCCATAATGTTGGAATCAGCTTGTCCCATCTGATCGAGAACAAAGAAGAATCTATTAGAAAAAGAAGAAGAAGAAGATCGATAAAATCTTAAGAACTTAGCTAACTGTTGAGAATTCTTGCTTCTCAAGTTACCTTCTTCATATTTAGACAGATTCGTCGTTTGATTCCTAAGTTGTAAGCTAAGAATAGTCTTCGCCTCTAGAAATGTCAAATGTTTGGATTTTTCAGCTTAATGTTGATTTGATATTCACAAATAACATCTTAAATACGTGGTTCCAAGTACTGTTTTGAAAATTTCAACAAGGAATCATAACAGTTTCTTTTAAATTCATATAAAACTATTAGATATTTAAAAGTCAAATCATTTTAAATCCAGTATCCTAATAATAAATTAGTTTGTGTACACTACGTGCATGAAAGCAGTTGCATTTTGAAAACTACACAAAGTATAGATATAATGGATGTTGGTGGTACTTCCGCGTCTGTTCCTAAAAACAAATCTCATTAATTAACTGATTAGTTTTGCAGCATTTGAATTATACAAGAGACAATATTAGTCTCTTTTTTTTTTGTCAACTAGAGACAATATTAGTCCGGTACACGTTGTTGCATATTTATTAATCTAAATGTAGAGCACGTAGTTGTATAATCCCTAATGGTTGTAACTTGTAGACTCATTTTTGCCAAAAGAAAGTATTATCAAACCAACATATAACTAGAACTAGAATTTTTTAAAATCAACATGTAGTATGCCGATCAAAATTCGGATTATGATATAACAGTTAACACCAGCATAAACCATTAGTTTTAATATCGACGACAAAACTAAATAAGTAGCTGAGTTTAGTTTTATTTTTATTTGTTGGAAATATTAATACAAACAAAATTCAGCCTTGTCTAAAAGGATGTTCATTGAAACAAATAAATTATACGAAAATTACAAATTAAATTTAAAAACAAGCGTAAAGCATTAAACCTTGCAAAACTTTGCTTGAATTTATGTTTTACAGTTGTTGTCAAACTAAAAACCAATCACATAAAAAGCCAGAAAACAAAGTAAAAGAGAGATGACTTTTGAGAACTCAACCAAAGAAATAACAAAAAGATATCATCAATACAAAACAATATGTGTTCAAGACCATTGTATTGTATTCTTCAAACAATTGATCCAACCTAGCTAGCCATTGTATTGTATTCTTCAAACCATTCATCCAACCTAGCTAGCCATTGTATTGTATTCTTCAAACCATTCATCCAACGTAGCTAGCCATTGTATTGTATTCTTCAAACCATTCATCCAACCTAGCTTGCCATTGTATTTCTTCATCCATTCTCAGAGCTTCAGCCAGAGCTTCAGCCAAAAGATCAAAATCTGGTTTCTTGATCTCCTTCAAACTCCTCAACTTTGAGGTAGCTTCAGCAACACCTTTGCTAGTCAAGCGCTCACATCCGAACAAGTCCAAGTACTCTAGATTTGAACATCCTTTACAAATATACATAATTACGCAATCAGTCAATGTGAAGAATCGCAGTTCCAGGTGCTTCAACTGACTCATGTATATATCTCACAATCATATTCGCGTGAATGTACTCATGATAGTCGTAACGTAGATACTTCACATAAGTGCACTGCCTTAACTTCTCGACCTCTGAAGGTGACATCGAGTTTCAGAATCTGAAGATTCTTGCAATTCTCACCCACCATTTGCAAACAGTCGGTACATATTTCAAAAGAGCAGCTTACATCAAGTTCTTTAAGCTTAGGGCAGTTTAATGCTATCTTCCACATCGACACATCTGTAACTTTGGGGCAGTATTTAACCCAAAGTACCTTTAGATTAGGGCACCTGCATATTAATATTATATCAAAATTCTGCTATTAACCTCTATGGAAACACCAAGCAAACTGAGACTTAGGACAGGATTAACGCAGTTTTTTAAGAGTTTCTTAACTCCCTTGGGTCCACCAATAACTTAAAACTCGTAACAAAATTACCGGATAGTGATCGATGTTGGTAAGTTTTTAGTACGGTTTTGCTTCTTTTTTTCTTTTTCTTTTTATAAGTCAGATAAGACAAAAAAAAAAAACTTTAAAAACTCATTTTGGGTTTCATACGTTAAGAGCATGTGCATTGAAGTATTTTAACAGGGGTTCACATGGATCCCAAACAAAAAAAAATTAAATTAATACAACTTGTGTGATCTTCTGTACGGCCGCCTCTTCCCCACTAAAACTGTATGACTTGAATTCATTACTATTTCGTGGTCCCATGACGCTTAATTTTTTTTAATTAAACAGAAAGAAAATAAAAATAATAATAATAAAAGATTTTTATGAATCCCACCCCCGTTTATCAATGCACATGCTCTAATGATGGTTTTACCTACCTCTCAGCAAGGTACGAGAGAGATTTATCCGTACAATGCCTGACTCGAACCTCCGTGAGACCTCCTTGGCTCTTGTCGACAGCAGATCGGATGGTTATGTCCACTTTTTCCTCGAATTCAGGGCTCCACCAGTAAAACGACTCAGGGGGAGACAGAAACTCATCTTCGAGATTCAAGACAGTGTTGAGGGACGGGTCGTGACATAAGTTCATCCATGTCTTGCAGACCAGCATGGGCCCGTTCCATCTTTGCCCCGTGCTCAGCCGTGAGAAGATGTCTAGGAGACATTCCGGAGTCAACTCTGACCAGTCATGGTGCAGTCTAGATCCCATCTGATCAAGAACAAAGAAGAATATATTGAGAAAGAAGATTATATAGGAATATAGGATCTTATTGATTGAATATGTCTAGAATATAGAGTATATGATATTGATCAAATTAAATGCTAGTTTTCGGAATTCTTGTTTCTTGATATATGTTGCGTTTATATGCAGAAAGCCATTCTGACTTTCTTGTTCTTACTTCAATTATAAAATCCAAGACATCTCCATCTTTCCTCTGTCGATGACTTCCTCTAGAGAGAGAGAGAGGGCTTAGTCGTTTTTATTTGGAATAAACTTTACGAATAGTCAAGTTGTTTTTTCCTCAAAAATATAAATTTTAGAACAAAGTTCTCTAACGTAATGTTACATTTTTCCTCTAAAAATTATTTAAATTAAAATATTTTTTTAACTAAATCTAATATTTGTATCCATGAAAATATAAATTAATTAATATATTATATTTTGATGATATTTCACTAAAATTACAATGCGAAATTAAGATTTTAACCAGCAGTTAGTTTGGTTAATGGTTTTATGCCGCGTAAGAGCATCTCCAACCCATGGATGGAGTAATCACCTTTTTGTTTGTTTATCACTCTATTTTTCACTCTATTTTAGAGTAAATTATGGAGTGGAGTTCGAGATGCTCTAATTAGCCTGATATTGTTTCTCTCCTGCAAATTCGGCTCGAAAATGTTGATTAAAGGGTTGATTGGAAGTTTCCAAAAAAGGTTCATTGAGAAGGTTTGTAGCTTTATGTTTTTTTTGCTTTAGAAATTATGATGTAAGTTTTTAAAATGTGGTTTTAATTTGTTTACTGTAGATTTATTTTTAAAACAACTGAAAACCTAAATAAATGCTACAATAAAATTGATTTCCAAAGCTAGCATGTTTTTTCTTTTGCTGTTTTATAAAATATGGATTTAGCAAGAAAAAAGGTTATGCCACAATCTACAACATTTTCCAATCAATCCTTAAGTAACACAAAATTTCAGATACCGGTTTACTGACTCAAGATGAACCAGGAAGCAGAGCTCGGTTGAAGGTGGCTTACGTGTGTTGAAAGCGTCTATCTGAGAACATAGAAGTGTTTGGTCGTTTGGAAAGTACCCCGATTGGAATATAAATTCGTTGATAATAATATTCGTCTGAAATAAATCAATAATATACAGGTTTTCAAAAAAAAAAATACAAAAATAATAATACACAGTTTGTGTGTGTGTGTGTGTGTGTGTGATTGTGAACAAACCGTTGAAAAGAAAGATAAAATACTTTTCTTGTTCAAAACTTTGAAAATTATTTTTCTAAAAGAAGAAAAAAAACTTTGAAAATTCCTTTTTGCTCGTACGAGTTGCATGATCATCGAATCACCAAGGATAAACCAACCAAACGCCCTGTAACATTCAATTATATTCTTACTTTCCAACCCGTTCTCTCTGTTCTTGTTTTCCTATGTCTAGACTCATGCTCTCCTTTTTGTTCCTACTCTTCCAGTTTCAAAGCTTCTATGCTCAAGCTCAGAGTCCAACAACAGAATTCATTTTCAAAGGTTTTAGGGAAAACAACTCGGAGATACAAACAGAAGGAGCAGCAGCCATCAAACCCGATGGACTACTGAGACTAACCGATGAAAACTCAAGCGTCACGGGAACAGCCTTCTACCGCAAACCGGTGAGGTTGCTTGACCATAGTAGCAACCTCAATCTCTCAACTAAGGCAAAAGTTTCTTCGTTCAGCACTTCTTTCATCTTTATTTTAGTCCCTTCTAGCGCTAGAAACGGAGGTTTCGGCTTCACCTTCACACTATCTCCCACACCAAACCGTCCAGGCGCTGAGTCTGGCCAATTCTTTGGGCTTCTCAACGAGACGAACAACGGGAATATAACGAATCACGTTTTCGCAGTCGAATTCGACACCGTAGTAGGATTTAGGGACGGTGGTAATGCAACACGCAATCACATCGGTCTGAATTTTAACAGTGTCACCTCGGATGTCCAGGAACCGGTAACTTATAGAACTGACGATGAATTCAAAGAAGATTTCCAGCTCGAGACCGAACCAATCAGAGTCCGTTTGGATTACAACGGACCAACCCAAATGCTAAATTTGATAGTATCCCCTGCCAGACTTCCCATTGCCCCATCAACTCCATTAATCTCTCGAAGGGTTCCAAAACTGTTAGAGATCGTGCAAGAAGAAATGTATGTTGGATTCACTGCGTCTACAGGGGATATGTCGAGTGCTCACTATTTGATGGGTTGGAGTTTTACAAGCGGTCTGGATGGTTTAACTGCAGAGAGGCTAGTGTTACGGGAACTTCCTCTTTGGGAGCCCAATATAGAGCAGAAGAATAAAGGTTACAAATCATTTGAAATTCCCTTTATTTACTTAACATATCTCAGTTTAATTCCATATCTTAATGGTTTTTCAGATAATCAATCCAGATCCATGGTCACAAAGATTGTCATAGGTTAGATACCTAACCACAGAATCTTTAGATATCTTTGATAAAAATTTAACTAATAGAATGGGAAAAGACATTTATTTGAAACCGCCAGTTTTAACACTCAAATATTACTCGTGCGGAATTATTTTCCATCTAATAGTTAACTGTGTGAAACTGAAAATGAAATTATCAACTGTTAATTGATGAGCGGAAATATAACAGTTTCTATCAACTTTTTAACGGTTAAATATTCTTATCATAATACTTTTGAGTATTTAAGTTGCCGATTAAAAATACTTTCAACTGAGATTTAAAATACTTCAGAAATAATATGCTCTAATAGAACTTTTATGTTTTCTTTTTTCTTTTCCTAAGCGGCGAGTTTGATAGTAACTACTCTCGTGGTGTTGGGGGGTGTAGCATTTTTTATCAGAAAGAGGAAAACATCAAATGCTAAGAGAAGAAAAAACCTCAAGGCTCTTACCCCGTTGAAGCATTATCATTACAATGAAGTGAAGAGGTTTACAAACTCATTTGCTTGTGTAGTAGGGAAAGGAGGATTTGGAACTGTTTACAAAGGAAACCTTCCTGATGGTCGTAATGTCGCGGTGAAGGTTTTGAAGGACTCAAAGAGCAATGGTGAAGAAGACTTCATCAACGAAGTCGTCAGTATGAGCCAAACATCTCATGTCAACATTGTTTCTTTGGTTGGATTCTGCTATGAAGGATCCAAAAGAATGATTGTTTATGAATTTCTAGAGAATGGGTCTTTGGATCAATTTATCTCCACAAACGCCTCATTAATTGCTGAATGGAGAAGTAGGCTTTACGAGATTTTACTAGGAGTTGCTCGTGGTCTTGAGTACTTGCACTATGGCTGCAAAACAAGGATTGTGCATTTCGACATTAAACCGCAGAACGTGTTGTTGGATTGCAATCTTTGCCCCAAGGTTTCTGACTTTGGCCTCGCTAAGCTCTGTGAGAAGAAAGAGAGCATCATGTCACTGTTGGATACAAGAGGTACAATAGGGTACATTGCACCAGAGATGATCTCCAGAGTTTATGGTGGTGTGTCTCACAAGTCAGACGTCTATAGCTATGGAATGTTGGTACTTGAGATGATTGGTTCAACAAAAAAAGACACGGTCGAAAACACTAGCTCGATTTATTTCCCAGATGGAATTTATAACGATCTTGAAAATGAAAAACAGAGTAGGCTTTATGGGGATGAGCTAACCAAAGAAGAAGAAGAAATCACAAAGAAGATGATCTTGGTGGCTCTGTGGTGTATCCAGTCTTATCCATCAAATAGGCCATCCATGAATAGAGTTGTAGAGATGATGGAAGGAAGTTTGGATGCTCTTGAAGTCCCGCCTAGGCCTGTTTTTCAAGTTCCCATTGCGCCTCTTCAAGAATCTTCGACACTTTCAGAGGATATTTCGGTTTACATAGAAAAATGATCCAAGAAGTCTCCTCGGAACCAAAGCAACTATAAACTATTCAAGTAATGTGATACATTGTCTGCATTATGGATTAAACAAAGGAAATTCATGACAAATAGTTCACGGGCGTTACACCCAAAGATGATATCAGTAATTTTAGGTTCCATCCAAACACCCTGCAGATTTGTAAAGCTTTATATGTTGAAAACTTCAGTGATTTGTATTCAGAAACTTCATGGATAGCTTAATGTTCTTTTCCTATAACGCATCGTTAGGAAACAAAGATAGATTATTACTCTATTGGTTTTGGTAATTCTGCTATCTTGTAAGAAATTCTTTTTTTTTTAAATTGCTTCTTATAAAACAATGAAACTTTTATCTAGATAATAAAAATTACATGTAAGCTTAACTTGAACTCGACCAAGGAAATAACAAAAATGTATCACCAACACAAAACTATATCCATTCAGTTAGTAAAATAATGTGGCTGCAAAGTCTGGTTTCTTGATCTCCTTCAGATTCTTCAAGCTCGAGGTAGCACTAATAACACCATCGCTAGTCAAGTACCTACTCCCAAACAAGTCCAAATACTCTAGTTTTGAACATCGTCTACAAATATGGGCAAGAGAGTTATCAGTCAATGTAGAGAATCGAAGTTCCAGGTGCTTCAGCTGGCACATGTGTCTCCCAATTCTATACTCATCAAGATTCCCTAAAGTTTCGAAAGATAGATACTGCTGCTGCACATGGGCATAACACCTTAATCTCACAATCTCATAAGGATCCATCAAATTCCATTTCAGAATCTGAAGATTTTAGCAATTCATGCCCATTATTTCCATGCACTCAGAATATATTTCATAAGAGCAGCTTACATCAAGTTCTGTAAGGTTAGGGCAGTTTAATGCTATCTTCCTCATGGACTCAACTGTGACCTTTGGGCTGTACTTAACCCAAAGTACCTCAAGACTAGGGCACCTGCATATCAAGATTATATCAAACTAACTTTTTGTTTCTTTAATGACTAAAGAATTCCCTATGACTCTTTAGACAACCTACTAAATAATCTAAAAGTTTTAATCACTAGGCGAATCCCACTTTTGTGATCAAACTGACTCATGCAGTTAACTTTTATGGAACCAAACAAACTTAGACATATGTACCTCTCGGCCACGTAAGAGAGTGACTTGTTCATGCAATGCCTTACACGAATCTCCTTGAGACCGCCTTTGCTCTGCTCGACAACAGACCGGATGGTTGAGTCGAGTTTTTCCTCGAACTTGGGACTCCACCAGGAGACAGAATAGGTGGAAGACATAAATTCAGCTTCGAGATCCAAGATAGTGTTGAGGGACGGGTCTTGGCATGCTTTCATCCACGTCTTGCATACCAGCATCGGTCCGTTCCATCGTTGTCTCATGTCCAACCGTGAGACGATGTCTATGAGGCACTCCCGAATCAACTCAGGCCAGCCAGGGTGGACTCTAGATCCCATTTTCAGAATTTTTCGTGATTCACGTTGTGTTTATATGTACAAAGCGATTTTGACTTTCTTGCTCTTCCTCAGTTATAAAATCCAAGACATGTCCATCTTTCCTCTGTAGTTGACTTCCTCAAGAGAGAGAATGAGAAGAATTAGACCATTTCCAACTTATTTTACTATTTTATTTTTAGCTAGAAAAATTCTGTTGTGGAAATGTTATTTGCTAATTGCTATAATATATTTTATATAAAATATTAATCTTTGATATAAAATAAAATAATAAACAGAGAAAACAAATTCTATTTAAAACAAAATAAAGATGACAAATATAGAAATAGGTTGAAGACGATCCTAGTCGTTTCTATTTTGGAATGAACTGTATGAATAGTCTTCTGTTTATTTATATTATCTCCAATATATATTATAATCTTTTCTAAAAATATAAAAGTTTGAAACAAAGTTAAAATGTTCTCTAATGTATTGTTACATTTTCCTCTAACGAGTAGTAATTTAAATTAAAATCTTTTCTATTTTAGTAATAATGTCTTTATCCAAAAAATATTGTTATCTAATTAAAAAAATAAAATAAATTGATTTATTTTATTTTTGTAAAGACCTCACTAGATCACAACAGAAAGTTAAGATTTTAAGTTATCGATTGAAAATTTAGACGTTACCTCGTTTAGTCGTTTCGTAAGATGTAAGGTTAAGAATCATATTCGCCTGAAAAGTCAAATGTTTGGACAGGGCCGGCTCAACATTTGTTTGGGCCCCTGGGCAAAAAATTTGACTTTTATGTTTATATTTAATAAAAAAATTAAATAATTTTTTAATTTTTAACATCAATATCTTTAAAAAAATTGTTATAAAAATAAATTATGTATATGTAAAATATTTTAGGGCCCCTATTCAACTAAAATTTATAAATATTTAAAATTTTCTATATAAAAATATGTATATATAAAAAATATTGGGCCCCTTAATTAATAAAATCGGGGGGACACGGGTTTGGACCCGGGGCGGTCGCACCGTTTGTCCCCCTTGTAAGCCGGCCCTGTGTTTGGATTTCTCAGCTGATAATTAATTTTAAATACATGGTGCCGACTACATGGTGCCGACTACATGGCATTTCGACTATTTCAATAAATAATACAGTTTGTATGAATTCGTCTGATTTTGAAATACTTCTAAACGTTATGAAAAGGTAAATCACTGTAAAATCCAGTATACTGATACTAAATTAGCTTGTTTACACAAGTAAGCAGTTGAATTTATATGAAGATACGTAAACACAAACACAAATCATACCTAGCAAAACCTTGGTTAAATTTATCTTATACGTTCGTTTTCAAATTAAAAACTAATCACAGTAAAATAAACTCAAAGAAAACGGATGGTTTGAGCTCAACCATCAAAATAACAAACGGTATCATTAATTCAAAATCTAGTATCATCAATACAAAACTATATGCCTTCAATTATTAGATTAAGGTTGTAAAATTTAGTTTCTTGATCTCCTTCAGATTCTTCAAACTTGAGGTATGGTTAGTAAGACCTTCGGTAGTCAATTCCCTTCACCCAAACAAGTCCAAATACTCAAGATTTGAACAATCTTTACAAAGATGAGCAAGACCTCTATCAGACAATGTGGAGTATCGAAGTTCTAGGTGCTTCAACTGAGGCATGTTTCTCCCAATTATATAAGGCATCAACATTCCCTAGTGCCAGGAAGGTTAAATTTTGAGCATAGGTGCAATGCCTTACCCTCTCAACCTCAAAAGGACCTCAAAAGGATGCATCAAATTCCGTTTAAGAATCTGAAGATTCTTGCAATTAGCACCCACCAGTTCTATGCACTTACAAGATATTTCATAAGAGCAGCTTATATCAAGTTCTATAAGCTTAGGACAGTTTAAGGCTATCTTCCTCATGGACTCAACTGCGACCTTTGGGCTATACTTAGCCGAAATTACCTCAAGATTAGGGCACCTGCATATCAAGATTTGACAAACTAATTTCTTGTTTTTTTAATGACTAACTTATAATTTTAATCATTAGGCCAACTCCACATCTCTGATCAAACTAACTTAACCATTATGGAACCAAGATTTGATCAAGCTAACTTCTGCAGTTAATGGAACCACCATGGAAACTGAGATGTACGTACCTCTCAGCTACATATGAGAGAGACTGATTCGTACAATGCCTGACTCGAACCTCCTTGAGACCGCCATGGCTCTGATCCACAGCAAATCGGATGGTTGAGTCTACTTTTTCCTCGAATTTGGGACTCCGCCAGTAGAGAAGGAAGGAGAAGACATAAACTCAGCTTTGAGATCCAAGATAATTGTTATTATGTCACATGAAGAGAGGATGACTAAGAACATCCAATACATGAGATTATATGATAACTAATACGATATGATTATTTTTAAGCAAAGAGAGTATATGACATGAAAAAGGTACCACCAACACAAAAATGTGTTCAACTAGTATACCAAATTGGCTGTAAAATCTGGTTTCTTGATCTCCTTCAAATTCTTCAAGCTCGAGGTAGCAGTACTAACACCAACGCTAGTCAAGTACATACTCCCCACTAAGTCCATGTACTCTAGATTCGAACACCTTTTACAAAGATGAGCAAGAGCTTTATCAGTCAATGTGGAGTATCTAAGTTCCAAGTGCTTCAGCTTACGCATGTGTCTCCCAATCGTATACGCATCAACATTCCCTAGAGTTTCGAAAGATAGATACTGCTGGATCACATAGGCATAACGCCTTAACCTTGTGACCTCAGAAGGCTGCATTAAGTTCCGTTTCAGGACCTGAAGATTCTTGCAATTTGTACCCACCAGTTCCATGCACTCACAAGATATTTCATAAGAGCAGCTTATGTCAAGTTCTTTAAGCTTAGTGCAGTTTAATGATATCTTCCTCATGGACTCAATATTAACCTTTGGGCTATACTTAACCCAAAGTACCTCAAGATTAGGACACCTGCAAATCAAGATTTAATCAAACTAAAACTTCAATGAAACCACCAAGCAAAACTGAGATGTATGTACCTCTCAGCGACGTACGAGAGAGATTGATTAGTGCAATGCCTGACTCGAATCTCCTTGAGTTCGCCCTGGCTCTGATCCACAGCAGACCTGATGGTTGAGTCAACTTTTTCCTCGAACTCAGGACTCCACCAGTAGGTTGTTGTATCGGTGGAGGACAGAAACTCAGCTTCGAGATCCAAGACAGTGTTGAGGGACGTGTCTTGGCATACGTTCATCCACTTCTTGCAGACAAGCATCGGTCCGTTCCATCTTTTCCCCATGCTCAGCCGTGAGAAAATGTCGATGAGACAATCCCGAGTCAACTCTGTCCAGTCAGGGTGGAGTATAGTTCCCATCTGATCAAAAGAACGAAGAAGAATCTATTGAGGAAGATTGTGACTCTCTTAGTGGCGTCAAAACCTTACAACAAAGAAGAAAGATACACAGAGCAAAGTTTGATTGGTATGTCTAAGAAGACTAGAACAGAGTATATTATATTTTTGATTGAACAGTTATCAGAAATCTTGTTTCTTGATTTACCTTTGTGGTTTCTGCGCTTCTTGTTCTTGGATCATAAAACCCAAGACACCTTTATCTTTACTCAGTCTGCTGACTCAGAGAGCTTTGGAGTACAAATAGTCTATTCTTAAGATTAAAAAAAAAAACAAAGGAGAATCATGTGTTGTTGACCTCTCAGTTTTGACAGTTGTTTTACATTAATAGTGGAAGATCTAGATAGAATATCTACTAGATTTATTAAAAAAGAGAACTAATAAATAGAAACGAATCTAAATAAATTGGAAATATCAAAAAAAAAAAATTAACATTTACCTATATATTATTCATATTATTTTAGGCAATCAGATTGTTCCTATAACTATGTAATCATATGTATATTGTAACCTTTTTTTTGTCAATATGTATATTGTAACTAAATTCTAATTATATTTTTCCTAAACTCATTTATGCAATTTATGAGTTAACAAATTGTATACAAGACTTACAACTTGATATAGAACAGAGCATGAACTCATATAAAGCTGCTTCTCATATAAAGCTCCTCCAAAGCATGAACCTTAGACCATCCCCATCAGAGGTTCAGATGGAGGTCACATGTTTTTCAAAAGAAAAAATATTAAAATAAAGAATAGTGATAAACCCGTCTCTTGCAGGTTCTCTGCGGTGAACCCGATTCATCACTGTAGCGCGGGCCCTACGACACGTGCCACGGTCCCAATTCGTCTATTTTTAAAAAAATAAAAAAAATAAAAAAATTTTAATAATAAAAAATTGATTCAATCAACCCCTGATATGGATGTTCTTAGGACTCGGAAGGATCCACCAGATTCTTGCACTTCCCGCCAAAACATTTTCAGAGATATACCATAAGAGCATCTCCAAGAGGCCCTCAAACCCTCAAATTTTGAGGTTTTTGACTCTCCAAGAGACCCTCAAACCCTCAAATTTTGAGGGTGTGAATAGTGAAACCTCAAATTTGAGGGTTCACTGTTCATGCCCTCAAAACACTATTCACTTTTCAGTTTAGTCCTTATATTTTATATCTTACATATAATTGTATTTGTATTAATTTTCTTATCATTTTACTCCTTATAACTATATTTTATAAATATATTTATCTGAAATATTCAAATATATCTTATATATGTAATTAATACATAAAATATATAAATATGAAAAAATAAAATAAAAGATAATATAAAAGAATAGTACTTAAATAGAACACTTTAGGTTGAATGATCATATATGAGAACATTATGAAAATAACAGTAGCGAGCAATTTTTATTTTTATTTTTTATGAATTAATGTGTGTTTTCTATTATTATGTTATGTATTTTGTTTTACTATAAATTGTATTTATAAATATTATGTTTAATTTTTTTAAAGTGTAGTATTATCTATCTATATAAATTTTAATGATTATCATTAGTTTATATTAAAGTTGGGGACTAAAATATAAATAGTATAAAATTTTCAAAATAGATTTGAGGTTTTTTCTTGAAGTAACACACCCTCAAATCCTCATTTTGAGGATTCTCCACCCTTAAAATGAGGTTCCTTCTTGGAGATGATCTAAGAGGAGCTCGTAACAAGCTACCTAAGCTATGGAAATTTTAAGGCTATCTTCATCGTCAATGTTGGTCTGTATTTATAGGCAATACTTAACTCAAATCACCTCAAGATTTAGGACAACTGAGATAACGAAATTACCTAGTTTATCAAACTGCATCTAAAACACACATAACAGAACAGAGAACTCATCATACAAGGCAATCAGGGAGGGAGATCCCGACCACACTTCAAACCTTATGGTATTAAAATATTTCTGCCAAACTAAGTAAACTTCATTTCATGTACAAGCTAAAGAGAATGAGTAAGGACAGAACATACAACACAACACACGAGATTCTGTAATCACCATATTGAATTGAAAAAAGATAAATCAATATCATCACTAAGACAGGAGTTGTCATATGTTGGAACATATGAAAGTTATGACTTGCTAACTCATCATCTATACTTGTATATACATAATATAAAGCATATTGTGCTAAAAATAATAATCTCAATCCTACTTCATAAACTCTTTACTAAAAAAAAACATCAAACCCGTAAAGCCACAGGATCTTGCCATGACACCTTCCTCTTCACTGCTCTACTCATCTCTTTCTCCACGTCTCTGCAAATCGGCAACTTCATCTCACAATCGATTCCATTACCAAACATTGCCTTCTTTGTTGCTTCACCTTTAGCTTCCGGCTCCTCTTCTTCTCTCTACAACCAAAAACACAAAATGAACCTCTGATCAGTTTCCTCAAGACTCCAAAAAAAAAGGAAGAACCAAAAAACATCATCACAAGTTGTTTTTAGCTTTACCGAGATCCGGTTTAGGTCAAAGCCTGAGACTTTGTTGTTAAGATCAGGAAGTGGAGTGGACTTTGTCAAAACCTCGTTTCCTCTGCTCCTTTTCTGACTCTTACTCTCAAAGTCACAACTTACATTGTCATTGCAAACTGTGTCCTTGTGTTTCAAATCAAAACATGGCACAGATGCTCTCAGACCAGAGTGCTTCTTTTTTTTGCTACTTGTCACTTTTAAATCTCCTCCAGATTCCGACAACCTCAGCACGCTGGGAGATGTTTCAAGAGTTTGGTCTTGCTTCAAGTTTTTGTATCGGCGTCTCAAGAACCTATTGTGTGATCAAAACACATTCAGTAAGCTACAAATCAATGTAGCCAATTAAACCTTGAATATTCACATGAAGAGATCAAGAGATTATACCTAACTTGTGCAGCAAGGGCTGATCGTTTTTGTTTCATCATCTCCAACTTCTTCATCCTAAACTCTGTTTCCTGAGAAGATTAACAATAAAAATCAAAACTTTTTTATTGTTTTATATATTCATCAGCTGGATTAGAATCAACCCAACAATACCAAACTCAGATTCATTACAGAACATATGTACACAACCCTAATTACGTTTGCAGATCCAGAGGAAATAGAGACAAAACCCTAATTACCTTTTGCAACTCGTGATAATCCTGCAAAAGGGCTTGATGCTTGAACCTGAAGTCAGTAATCTCTTTCATCGGATCAGATCAGTGAATCAGATGTGGAAGAAGCTTTTTGATATGTGAGAGAGAAGAAAGAAAGAGTCTTTGTATGTATGGAAACTCTCTTCTTGACCAAAAGACTTTAAAGAAACAACAAAGAAGAAGCCACCACTTAATTGCTTCCTGTGTGCCCATTACCAATTGAAATTAAAGTTTGGTTTTTTTTTTTTGTTTTTTTTTTCTTTTGGGTGAGAGTAGACAGTACAGCAGAAAACTAGGAGTAGTGATCAAAGATGAGAAAGAAGGAAAAAATCAAAACTTTTTTTTCTTTCTTTTTCACTTTTGTGACTATGGTGTGTGTGCCCTTATGGAAGTTGCAGAAGTGCATTGACATGCTGACTAGTATAGAAAAAGGAAGGGTTCTTCTTTTTGTGTGTTTTATTTATGATTAGGTTTGTGAGGTGGATTAGATGATTGGTAGAGGTTTGAATTTAATTTTGTAAAGAAACTATGGGTCATTGAATGGGTATGTAGCAAAAAATTTGTTGAATGGGGGTTTAGAGAGAGACATCAAAAATAAAAAAGTTGGGTTGATGACAGAAAAAACAGTGAAATAGGAGGAGACTTGAAAGAGAGATGATTGTATGTGTGTATGTATATTTAATTTTTAAAATACCACATAGGCAGAGGCTCATACTTGTCTCATATTGTTTACTAGGTGATTTTCCCGTGCTCATGCACGGGTTGAATATTCATAAAAGTAAAATTTTATAATAATTGACTGATATTTAGTTTTAGTTTTGAATCAATTTATATATATAATTTATATTAATAAATATTATATTATTCTAATTATACATAGGACTTTGGATATATTATTGTCAATTTAATTATTTTTTGGATCAATAATCGGTTTGGTTATCAATTTGGTATATTGGATAGTATCTATTTTTCAAGTTCAGCTATAATATTTTTTATTCTAAATATATTAAAACGTTGATTAATTTTCTTATTTTCATTTCGGTTGGTTATTTTCTTAGATATGTAAATATATTCTTAGCTATGTAAATATACTATGGTTAAATTATGTATAACTTAATAGATATTGTGCTTAAAATGAAATAAATAATAAGCTGAAGTGTTTTTATTCAAAATTACATAAATGAATATAATGATAATATTTTAAAATCTCATGCATATATATAAACTATACAAAAGAATTAAATTGTAAATGGTTAATATTTTCTTTTTCTTTGTAATATGCTTTGTGTCAACCTCTAATTTATATGTATAAAATTAAATATATTATTATAATAAATTATATATTCTTATTCTAGTTAGATTTTTAATTTTGGATATAAATTAGATTAGTCGAGTCATTCATTTTGTGAGTATATTGAGTTAAATATATGTTTAAATTAAAATTGAAGTATAATTACTTTTTATTTTAGTTAAGTCAAATCAAATTAGTTTTATGTAGCGCTTAAAAATACATGTATTTTCATAATATTTATTTACTCTTTATTTTAGTTAAGTCGAATCAAATTATATTTTCATAATTTTTATCAAATTATATGTTCATTTCTAAATAATATTAGAAATAAAGTGTAACTGATAAATTTTTGGATGTTTATGAACATATATATTTTTATTATTTTGAAAATATATTTTATGTTATTTAAAAATATATATTAATGGAGGTATTAATATTTTGTGAACTTTCCTTTTTAAGAAAGTCATATTATATACATATAATTTCGTTTTTAAAACTGTTTTAAAATTTTAGAAATATTTCTTTTTATTATATATGTTATTTGGAAAAAGGTAAAAAGGAAATTACATTAAAAAAAAAAAATCTTAAAATCTAACAATTCATTAAAGGTATCTATGTAATCAACCATCACGAGAGTTAACGTGGGCGCGAAACGTATGAAATTGACTTTGCAAATAATATTATAGAGATTGTACCCACTCTGATAAACGGACCATTATACCCTTCAAGTCAACTTTTGTTTTGCCAGAAATGCCAATACTCGTCCCGTTCTTCTTTTTAAATTTACAACAGTCTTGTGTTTGTATTTGAAGTTTTTTCTGTGTTTGGATAAAAAAAAGTTCCACCATTCAGTAATGTGAAGTGAACAATTCTTGATGAATGTGATCTGATCATATATATATTCTCTACAGCAGAATGAAGGCTCTTATTACCGTAGGCATCAGAGTTGTATTAAGTTTTTGATGATTAATAAAAGTTAAGAGATTTCTCTTTATTCCTTGTTTTCGGTAGATCATTGATGATCTCAACGAATTTAAGAAGACATTGATCTTAGGTATTCTTAGACTAAATAAGATCCTTGTATTATCATAGTTTTCCGGGTATTCTCAGAATCAACGGATCACTATTTATATCCCTAGAAGCTTCCGCTACATCAGTTGGTATCAGAACTAGCGTTTTGGTTTCTTAATCAAAACTCGATTCTAGAATCATGAAGAATTTGTTCGTGGAGAGTGAAGAAACCTTTTATATAGAGATTACTGGAGATCCAATTTACAATACTTATAATGATGATTACGAACACTTCATCATATATAAAGTATCGCAAGACATCACCGTGCATCATGACGTCCAGCAATCTAACTCAGCCAATCCCATACAATCATATCACGTGATGGTGGATGGCAGCAAAGCAAAGATTCAAGTCATTACGTGTCTTGTTGGTGACTTATTTGTGAAGACAGAAGGTGCAACAACGAAGATTGAATACATGGACAAAGATAATTTGTTTTGTATTTGCTTTTTGTTTGTTTACTTGGAGATCAAGGATGCTAAGTTTTATCAATGGAAGAGAAGAAAAAAATTATTCGAAGATCACGGTTAAGATTCGGGACGAATCTTCTCCAACTCGGAGAGAATGATGCAGATAAATATTTGGAATATTTCCAAATATCTTATAATTTATTTTAATAATTATTTTTATTATTTTAGGGGTTTGTAGGGTTTTATGATTTTATTATATATAGCCGTTTAGGCTTAAGAGTTGTATTAAGTTTTTGATGATTAATAAAAGTTAAGAGATTTCTCTTTATTCCTTGTTTTCGGTAGATCATTGATGATCTCAACGAATTTAAGAAACATTGATCTTAGGTATTCTTAGACTAAATAATATCCTTGTATTATCATAGTTTTCCGGGTATTCTCAGAATCAACGGATCACTATTTCTATCCCTAGAAGCTTCCGCTACATCATTTTCTCAGTATGATGCAACCAAAAGTTTTTGATCAACAAGATTGAATCTCTAAAGGCTGCTTGAGTGACTGAAGTTGCATTAGCTAATCAAATATTCACCAACAGCAAGAGATTCATTTTTGTCCTTAAAAAAAACAAATCATATAATCAATGTCAATCAACGTCATTGTGTGTTTAGTATTTATTTGATCATGTGTTAAAGAGTTTTTTCAGGCAGAAAGAAACTACAATTTGTAATGATCAGAGATAAATATTTTGAGTTTTGAAACCATTGTACTTCTTTAAAATATCAACAATTCCTTGAATGCTCTCAAATCGTTTCTGATTTCCAAATTGTGGAAATGAATCAAGCTTTAAAACAGTAATTAAAAAGAAAAAAGAAAAACAAGAACTCCGAGTTTACTCGGAATTGAATCCTAATCTGGTAGCTGGATTATGCTTGTTGGATACATTTGATCTTACTCTACGTTTTTTAGGTTACTAATTAATAAGATTTTGGAAGCTCTTTTCCAGCCAAGAACGATTTGAAAAGAATGAGTGCACGCTTTGGTTCAAATAAAGGCACCTCGTGCCCTGCCCCTCTTACTGTTGCAAATGTTAGTCCCTTGTAAACCTCCGTCCATCCTCCCACCTATCACCACCCATTAACATCACTGCCTTAGTGTCTAATATATATATGATATGTATCCACGCATCCATGTACATTCTATGTATGTATACTATACCTGGTTAGCAGAGTACCAAGGGTACCAACGAGTTTTCACCGGTAGATTTAGATGGCTTAGGGAAAACCGTGTTGCCGTCACTGGAACCACCGAATCTGTATCACCACTGCATAATGACAGTACAATATGAATGCAGAGCAGGTCTAAATTATAGTAATATTAAACACTGAATTTTTTTTTATAACATAATATTAAACGTAGAATTGTCGGATGTAATATTTTCTATGTAATTTTTTTAATAATTTGTAATAGCATAATTAACCAGATAAAAAAAAACATTGAATTTAGACTCCCAATTATTTGACCAAAATTTTTATTACACTACTAACTAAATTGTTTAGAACCTCCAAAATCTCAGAGCGGCCATGTATACATTGACTTAAGGGTTTATTATGTCCCCAAACAAGCATGTGGTTATGGTGTATATATCTAATTATAACAAACCATAGGTTACCTGAAAACCCATATCCTCAAACCCGCAGCCACAAGTTCCTTGTAAACCGGTAACATCGTCTTGTCGGAGTCTTTCCAGTTCTTGATCAGAACATCACTACACAAAAAAAAAGAGTTTCTTTCAGCAACACTTTTAGCAAAATCACCACTACACATCATCTTCAAGTGGTGAAGCTAACAAGTTTTACCTGCAAGCTGTCCATTTATAACGAATCCCAGTGACGTTAGCATGCATAGCTCTCTGAACATCAGGACTGTTATAATACTTCTCTGCGTAGCTCTCCGTGCAAGGATCGTATCCAGACACAAACCGTCTACGTAAGAGTGTGTTTTTCATACGTAAGAAAGCAGTCTTCTTCTGTTTTGAAGCCACACACGTTGGAGTGTAAATGCTGTACTGATCAATGTCACCGAACTCGTGGTTCATGGCATAGTTAACGGAGCTGTCGCAGTCGTCGGAAACTTTCTCTGCCGTGAAGTTACAGTGTTTGAGGATTGACTTGTAGGTTTGGTCGGAAATAATTGCGTGGGTCCACCAGTAAGCTACGGTTCCTATGCTGTCGTACTCATTGTCCGTCACTGCGTTCCCCACCTTGAGAAATAACGTATTGCAATCTTTGGTTAATTACAAATGTGTCCCCTATTTTAGACCGGAGCTATATGTATATCCTATTTATTATTTCCTCCGTTTCAAATTGATACATGTTTTAGAAAAAAATATTTCACTAAATTACATTTTCATATTTTAATGTATTCTCTATTAGGTAATCATGATAAATTATAAACTTCGAAGAAATAGATTGTGTTTATTGAA